GGCATGTGGTGAATGTTAAACACAACCATAAAACATGCAAAACCCACATGTCAGAAGACTGGACTGTGGGGTAGAGCTTTTCTGTTGGCACTTTTGGGGGCACCAAGTCAACCTTGCTTGCATTTCCATTGCCAGTTTAAATGCACAGAGTTGTTCCGTCCTGTGCCAAAGATGGACTCTCCAGAGTCGGGCCAGCAGTGCACCTGACAGCCTCCAAGCGGGTTATGGTGATGTCAGTTGGGCTTCGTTATCATTATTAAGCATCAACATTCAGTGACCATTCACTGACGATCTTGTCAGCTCCTTTGACATGTGCATTGTAATTTTAATTTCAAAATGAAGACAGATTCAGCGACTGCATGGCGTATGTCTCGTCTCAAATGTTTTCAGAAACACGTTTTGGTGAACTATTTCTAATATAATAAAGTTTCCAAACAAGCCGCCATGTTGGTACAGTTTGAAGTCTGGGAGCAGACAGCCCACATCCCCAATGGCATGCCCATCAAGCCTCTAATGCTGTAAAGCAGCGCGATCCCTTGTGTCCAAAAAACAACCCTGGTGGACACCTACCATTAGAGAAAGAAAGTGGTGGAGCATTGTCTGGATGCGCTTTGGCAGCACTACACTGATGCTTCCGAGACATTTTAAGCTAGCTGGAGGATATAGTCATCCAGCATATGTTAGTGTTGTGCCAAGAGAAAATTAAAAAACTCCCAACAACAGTACAAGAAAGTCAATAACATCAGCAGGGCTTACAGGGAAATGTTACGTTGGTTCACAAGCACGGTCGTCAATTTAAGACACCCTCAAGTGGGTAGCCCTGTTGTATGGAGATGCAAATATGTGCTGTACTGGGCTGACGCGAAGAGTCGAAACGAGCCACACCAAGCCAACGTGAATGGAAAAGCCCTTTAGATGTGCTATGGATTCAGCGCAGCTTAGGTTAAGCAAGGAAAGAGCTAACCTGACTTATCCTAAGTCATTAACTTGTTTCTAATAGCATTTATGTTGCTGTAATGTTAACCACATTGATGAGCTGACCTTTCTGTGAGGGCTCATTAATGAAATAGAACAGCTTTGGCATAGGAGGTGGTTACGATCCACTATAAAACTTAATGGAGTCATTTTTTTGGGTCCTTTTGACTTGTCTTAGTTAAGGGCTCATAGTGACTTTAAAGTTACTGGCTTGCTTGTGCAGTAAGGATATCTAAAATGACTGAACTCCCTGAAGACTTTAGCTTCATGTTTTAAAGATCAGTTTTTAGGCTTTAGATTGTGATGTCAGTCAGAAAAACATGCTTCATCCTGCTGATGAAGGTTAGCTGGGCCTGGTGGTAGAAGTTGTCTCGCTGTTTTAATGTCGGTTCTGCTACACTGACATTTTCCAGCCTCCCGCAGAAGGGCTTTGTCACATTGTGTTTACAGTATCAAAGCAGAATGCAGAGCTGCGGGCCTCAGGGACCTGAACTTTATACAGCAGAAACTGCCTGGTCTCGTCATGGTTTCTGGTCCTCTCTGTCCTATCTGGGTGCCAGTTAGCTTGACGGTTTGCATGCCTTAACCTCTGTAGTGTAAGCGGCCAAGAGCTGCTTGGCTGCTTCTCGTCCCGCAGCACTTTTGTCGACGGACTTCGCCTCTTCTTCTCTCTTGCTCTGTCTGTCCCCTGGTCCCCGCCTCTGCCTTAATGAAGAGGGTAATCTGCCATGAATAATGAATGGGGATTTGTATGTGTTATGGTGTGAACACTTGTCTGGTTCTCATTATGCGCCTATCAGGACGGATCATGGGTTCAGGGAGTAGAGCCTGCATCTGCTTTTCTCTCCGCTTTTGTTCCAGGCTTTAATGCAGACCATGCTGAATGGCTTAGTGTGTTGGAACACTATTTAAAGGCACACCTTTAAGCCGTTTATGCCGCCCGTCTTTGCCTGTTGATCTGTTCAGCCCTCTGTTAGATATCATGCGTGTGGACGGTCCTGCTTTAATTTTATTTAGGGGCCATGCCCACTGCCACACTGGGAGCAAAGCATTTTTAATTATTCAGAAGCTGTCATGTCTAGACCAGTCGAGTCAACCACTCTCAAGTAATTCAAAATGACAGCAGTGTCAAGTGAGATAACAGCTTTTCAATACTGTGTTGGTGCCACATAGCTGAACAGCAGCTCTTAATGGTATGAATGCTTAAACACACTCCTTCCACACACTGGATCACTTCAAGACCCGTCAAAGTGAAAAGTCATAGTAACTGTCACAAGGATTATTTTTATTTAATAGCATTTGATTTTCTTTAATTTAGTAAAAATTAATATACAGAACAAGCTTAGATTATGCATTTATAAGGGTATAGAGGGAAAAGATGAACAGGGACACTGGCTGTATGGTCACTTTTCATGTCAACACCTTGCAAAGCAGATGAAAGATTTTTTTGCCACTGCATCAATCCCTCATTTTTCGCCTCGTTTATCAATGCCATCACAATTATTATGCTTTAAAAAGAACTTTGGACACTTTACAACCGTGACATTTTGCAATAGCACGTACCAATATAATCTACCAATGGGATAGCTAAATTGAGCTAGACAACGAGGTCATGCATGTGAGATCGAAGACAAGACTACACCATAGTTATTATGCACACGTTGCCGCCAATAGTGTACAAGTTACTTTAAGTTGTAATAGATTGCCCTCAGTGTTCTGATCTGTAAAAATGATGGACTGCCTTCGGATTTTTTTCTGCCATCGTTAAAGAAATTCAGGCAATGACGGAAAGTATTTGGTTAACGCAGCCTCTTAAACTAAAGGCCCTTGCGCACCAAGCCTACAGTGGGCTGTCGGTGAGCATCTGTCGCCTTAGTCCGTGCCGTGTGTCTCGCACCGTTACCCATGTCAGACCCCTATGTTGTTGTTACTACTATGTGTATTTGGCACCAGCAACAGCTTAGCCTGTTGGGGAATGAAATCACTCTGATGGCAATTCAGCTCAGCGCACAAAAAGAGAAACAAAAGTGAGGAAAGTAAACAAACAGCTCAAGTCAAGAGGGAGTGAGACCAAAACAAACTTGTTTCATAAAGTAAGATTATTTTCTTTAGTCATTGAGCTCTTTAGCACAAACGGTTTGTGTTATTGTTCACTGGTGCACGGTAAATATGCCTTGTTCTTTCAACATTTTATTGTGTTGTCTAAGGATAGACCGATACATCGGCCGGCCGATATATCGGGCCAATATTTGAG